GGGGGAGGAATATAAGAGAAACGAAGAACAGGAAAGAGCCAAAAAGCAACTCTTCCCAATAGAGGTTTTTGCACCATCACGTGACGGCAGCGATGTTAGATGGCAGGAACAATAAAGTCGTTTTACGTGAGAAAGAATTCAATTCCCGAAAGCAAAGGGATTTCATTGTTCTGCCATCTAACCACAGGCAGCTCAAGCTGTGTTATGGGATTGGCATGTGATGGTGCAAAGCCTCATTTATAATTTTTCTGGTGTTTTTTGTTGTTCTCAGGTGATGAGATGGGTATGCTGGAAGACATGTGTGTTGGTGTACAAAGTTTGACAAGAGTCAAGTTAAAAGTATGTCACTTTGCATCAATTCTTCGTTTGCACATGACGTCATAGACGCCATCTGGGTTCAATTTAACAAAATAATTGTCAATGAATTATTTCGTTGTATCAACCAACATGGCCGCCGTGTCTTTTGTTATTTTACTCCCTCTTCAATGATTAAAAACCAGCATTAGCACGCGCGGATTCGAAATGTGCCGTGTGACAAATCAGGGCTTTGGTGGACCTCAATCAAAATATTTTCATTGCAAAGTTTTCATGAAAAACGAACCCAAAATTCCGCGCGTGCTATGAAAATAATGGCTGTAACGAAGCACGCAACTCTTAGATTCGGGATCACTTGTAAAACACAGAGCGCAAAAACCTTCTTGCTGACGGGTTGATATGTTAATTAAAAAGGCGTAACCATTTGTTTGTCTTTGCAGATTGTCCAGTGTGAAAGAGACGATGAAATCCCGGCCTTGAGTGGCAACAGGTAAGAAACTAAGCCAAGCCCCCAGACGTTTGAAGTTAAGGTTGCAGTAACATGAAATGCGTTGTGATAATCAGACTTCCGTAAATACCGGCTCTTACTGCCATCTCATAAACTGAAATTTGGTTTTTCGCTGCCGTCAATCAAAGCTAATCAGTCGGTACCTTTCATATTTTTGACTGGCGACAGCGAAAAAACTAAATTTCAGCGTGTAACTCGGAGACACAGAGTACGCATGTTTATGAAAATTACAGTAAGTACTGGCCGGTAATGGCGTTCGCCTCGCTCATACCAACCTCCCAGTTCGTATTTTTTTTATTAAGGGAGTTATCGTGTGTTATTGTGTGTCTATAGGTCTTGCATACAGGTCAGCATCCCTGTTCCTGCCGAGTCATTCCAGTTGCTACCAAAGGAGGTACAAGAGGCTAAAAGCATCCGAGTCACGCCCGTCTTGTTTACCCAGGGAGTCAATGAGCATGCTACCCTGGCGGAGAAGTAAGTATCGTACCTTCTTCACACCCTTTTGTATTGGCTTAAAAATGATCAAGGGTATCTCCAGTGTAATATAATTTATGCTGGCCTTTTGTCATATCTATTGTGACTCGTTCTATAGATTGTAAAGACGGTATTTTTATTTTGGTAGTGTGATGTCAGCTATTACTGCGATTCCCAGTCACACGCGACCAAGTGAGACCAAAATCACAAACGAAAAATTGAGTTTTGGTGGACGTCAATCAAAAGGGTTTCTTAAGCATGTTTAATGATTCAGACTCCGAATTTCAAACGTTTAACTGCAAACTATCAGTATTGACTTATCCTATCTTGAAGAAACTCATATCATAGCCATAGCGATAGCTTTGCAATCAAGCGTTTCAAGATTCGGAGCCGGAATCCTGTGACATTTTTGAGAAAATATATCCAAAGTGAGAAATTCACAGCGACAAGAAGCATGAGATAAGGACAACGATTTTTGCACATTTGCACGTGTTCACGTGAGTATTTACATCAGTCCTGGTGTAGAAACCAATAGAAACTATAGAAACCCTTTTGATTGACGTCCATCCAAATTCAATTTTTTGTTTTTGATGAAGGTCTAGTTGGTCGCGTGTGACTGGGAATCGCAGTAATTATACTACACTTGAGATAGGCCAGATATCACGATATGGACGTGGACGTGCCGTTCCGTGACTGCAATGGCACAGTATATCTGATCATTTCGATTGGGTATACGGTGACCTTGCCTGCTGTGATTTTTTTAACGGTAATCCTTAATTCTATACTATTGCACTAGCTCTTTCCTTGCCGTTTCACAGTTAAGCGAAATCTCGGCATTTCTTTACTATTGTGTTTCTGTTTGTTTAGATTTGGAGACACTTCGCTACAAGAGAGCATCAATGGGGATAATTACAGCATCCTTAGTTTTTACGTGCAACAATTCAAAGATCTATTCCCTGAGCTGTGTAAGAATATTTTTTAAGACTTGTGCTAAAACTAGAGACATCCACGCATCCACCGCATCGTAAGAGAGAAAATATATTCTTCCCTCCGTTCGTTCGTTCGTTCCTTGCTTCCTTCCAAGCCTCGTTCGTTCCTTGCTTCGTTCGTTCGTTCGTTCGTTCCTTCCAAGCTTCGTTCGTTCGTTGCTTCCTTCCTTCCTTGCTTCGTTCGTTCGTTCGTTCGTTCCTTCCAAGCTTCGTTCGTTCGTTGCTTCCTTCCTTCCTTCCTTCCTTCCTTCCTTCCTTCCTTCCTTCCTTCCTTCCTTCCTTCCTTTCTTCGTTCCTTCCTTTCTTCCTTCGTTCCCTTCCTCCCCTCCTCTTCCCTCCCTCCCTCCCTTCCATCCTTTCTTCTCTGCTTCTAGTCTCATTGAGAAATCTTACTCTTCCCATCAAACTACCACGAGTATTTTCCTAGTTTTCACAGGATGTATCATATTTTCCCCTTCTTTTGTTGACCAGGTGGTTCTCGTTTCCCAGACGACACATCCATCGATAACCTGATGGAACAACTCAAAGTGAACGTTGAAGGCAGAAAAAGTAAGAACGTTGATATCCTGTTGCTAAGCGAACAGGTAAAGAATACATAAAGTGTAATACTTTGAACGACTATAAATAAAACATATCTGGGCACACGTGGCACTAGTGAAAAACTAGTGAAAAACTAGTTGTTTAATGAGAAAATATATGTTCGTTTGAGTTATCCTTTTGCGAGATCAAGATTGTGGTTAACAAAAACATGATTAGACCAGGTTTTAGCATTTTGTTAAGTCTATTTGCCGCTCTGCGAGAACCGATGATGAAGTGATTTATCAGATGTTTGCATATTTTTACAGTAGTGCGCAGACGTTGTTGACCAATACTTCAGTTTCGAGTTCTCTGTTGCCCAGGGTTAGCCTCATTTTTGTGCAGAATATTCATGTGTTCCAGTGAAAGTCCGTGGAATTTCAAATTGTTTGTATTGTTGAATTTGCGCATTCTTTACTTTACTGTTGGTATTTATGGCTATTTAGACACTGATTCGAGTAAATGAGTCTGTAATCAAGGAACACAGCAGTAAGTTGGAATTCTAGAATATGGTCTATTTGCGTATGTACTTTTCACCCTAGCCTACGTCACAACGCAGACCATTTTCACTGGTGTCGGGCAGTAAAGTATAGGAATCGTGAAGGAGAAGTATAAAAGTATACACCAAGTATAAAATGCGTAACAAGGCAGATATCACGACTATCAGCCTCGCATCAGTTTCGTTATTGTTTGACCTATATGCCTCGCTTGTATGTCTTCAGTATCATGCCAATTTAAAATTTTTACCCGGTCTACATGTTGCGCCATGTACACACATCCCGTTAAACTTATCGTGCCACGCCGTTGCCTACAAGTCTTAGTTTCCTGCTAACAGAGTCAAGCCTACTAACAACACGTCGTATTTAATTATCAGCTCTGTTGGCGAATGAATGGTGGCCGCTTTACAAGCTGCAAGAGTGCAAAGGACCGTACAGCCATGGCAGTGACGCTGGAGCAGGCTATGACGCTTCAAAGAGAACATAGTATGAATTCTGAAGTGTTACAGCAGTCCCTCGACGCAATGAGAAGGTCAGTGAGGCACACATTGATATATCTTTGTCTGACACTTTCAAAACTATCCGCTTGCCTTTAAACTTCTCTTCAAATTTTTAACCCTAAAACAACAACCTCTTGGTTGATAAAAATCAGGGTAGGTCTTACTCACAGATCGGGTTGAAATTAGCTTGTTTCCTTATGTGGAGGGAGGAAAACCGGAGAACCGGAGAAAAATTCCCCTATCGAAGTAGAGATCCAACAAACTTTACTCACATGTGATGCCAAGACTGGTTCAATCGAGTCCGATGACCCCAGAGAGACTCCAGTCCTCTATTTAAATCAGTTAAATGATTCCTGATTCTAACTCTTTCATGGATGGATCCCATGCCTGCATGGTTTCTTTGATTGTACTGACTTAATTCTCGAGGTGAATAATTGTGCCGCAACAGCTTTTGATTTCCATCTTTTTTATTTCAGTGAAGGCACCAGGATAGAGAATGCCTACAAAAACACAGGCTTCCGTAAATACGCCTTTAACTATTGGCAGGTGATGGCCCTGCCTCGCTTATACCGGCCTCCCCCGGGTACCTACGGTAAGAATGTACAGACATAATGACCTGCCTCGACTATACCGACTTTCCCCGGGTACCTACGGTAAGAATGTATAGACATAGACATAATAGTGTATACCGACTTCCCCCGGGTACCTACGGTAAGAATGTACAGACATAGACATAATAGTGTATACCGACTTCCCCCGGGTACCTACGGTAAGAATGTACAGACACAGACATAATAGTGTATACCGACTTCCCCCGGGTACCTACGGTAAGAATGTACAGAATGACCTGCCTCGACTATACCGACTTCCCCCGAGTACCTACGGTAAGAATGTACAGACATAGATATAATAGTCTATACCGACTTCCCCCGGGTACCTACGGTAAGAATGTACAGACATAGATATAATAGTCTATACCGACTTCCCCCTGGTACCTACGGTAAAAATGTATCTAGGTAATTCTATATAATTCTTTCGTAAGGATGCACAGACGTAGAAGACGATAGTAGATAATATTAGTAAATAATTAGTCATGTATTATGACCACAATTGGGGTAATGCACATACACCACTAATGATTAGGAAGATGGCCAATGTTTACACTGAGCTCTAGAGGTTCTGTTTGGCTTCGGGTAGGTTTAGAGGATCGCCTCTTATAATCGAATCGTTGTCGTGTTCAGAAACATAGAACATAGAAGCTGAGACCGAAATGGCACATGGGAAGTACGTTAATTAGATGCATGCTGTGACCGGCGACCCGTGGCATCATCCACTGTTTTTAATACACGTTTGGCATTCTAAACCGACTGCATGGATGGCGCAAATGAATAAATTATAATATAATTGTCATTTCCCATGTGCCATTTCGGTCTCAGCTTTTATGTTCTATGTTTCTGAACCCGACAACGATTCTTCAATTGAGTGTATATGTATAGACACATGACACTCAAATCTTCCCCATTGTCCATGAAATGACTCAATGAATGTGATTCAACCACGATTTCATGAAAACGTGGCAAATTCTTTATTCCTGAGCAAGTGATTGGATTCAATGAAATATGGCAACAGTCATAGTTAATGCGTTACTTTTTTAGAGGCATAGAAATTATATCATGAACCTAAGGCCCCGTCCACACGTATCCGGAAATTTTTGTATCCGCAAATTATTTTTTGCGAATACGGGTTGCGTCCTCGCGTGTCCGCAAATTTTTGTGTCCGTATCCGCAAATTTTACGAAAACGGACACGTGTGGACGGTGAAAACGATTCGAATACGCTGTGTGTGGACGCAAACGTTTTCGTATCCGCAAAAAATAATTTGCAGATACAAAAATTTCCGGATACGTGTGGACGGGGCCTAAGGGACGGAAAATCTTGAAAATCAATTAGTTTTGTACTGGATTGGCAAATGAATATGTAATATAGTAAAGTAAGCATTCGAAGAGCTCTGGCAAAATAAATAAATAGAGAAATGAGAAAAGGGAAAGAAAGGATATATATAAAATTAAAGAGTCAAACGTTTTGAAAATTAAGGATCTCTGGAAGATTCATGCTGGCTGCACTTGTTTGTTTCTCAACTTTTTTACACCATTATCCGATTATATACTAAATATAAAATCAATTATGGATTTTATCAAAATACTAAATTATGTAGATAGTTTTATATATTGTTAGTAGCACGCAAGGAGCAATAAACTTGCATATTCTATGCGTCTATATATTTTCATCAATTCATGAGTGAATGCCTGATATCCTGAACAAACGCTTAGCAAGGGACCAAGAACATTTTGGAGTAATGATTTTTCCCTCCTTTTCTGACCAAGTATTAAAAGAGTTCCCTTTCTAGTATTTTTTGACTTTGGGTTAAGTGTAGTTTTATTGATGGTTTTCAACCTTTCCCAAGAGAATTAAATAACAAAAGACACGGCGGCCATGTTGGAGGATATAACAAAAGAATTCATTGACAATTCTTTTGTTAAGTTCCTCCAACATGGCCGCCGTGAAAACCATCAATTCGTCCACTGAACGGCTTTCCCATACATAAGCAAGTTGATATAACATAGCACGTTTGTCGTACCGGAAACCATTTTATTTTAAATTCAAATATTAGACATCAAACGTAAGAATACAATAAGTGCTTTACTATGAACGCATCGAACTTCAAGTAACAATGACTTGGTGGTATTATGCACAAGAGGGATTCATCGCAATCAAAAATTTTAGTTACAAACAGCAACCGTTACCTCGGGTCCTGATTATGTCGTCAAGCAAACGAGTAAACTTAGTGTCATAAAACAAATTCAGTGATAATTACAGATACAGATGAGATGCGTTACAACAGATTTCATGCTGTGTTGCTATTCTGTGCCGTATCGTGCCGTGCCAGCGATAGCACGTTGTATAGCAAATATTTTACTTTAGTGTGAAGCAGCGAGCTCGCGATCTTTGTTGCTCCGCCAGAACTTGAAACTATGATAAGTGACATGAATATGCACATCATACGAAATCTGCGATTGCTAACTGTAATCAGTGTAAATTTGAAACCTGGTACGTATCTGTGTCATGCACTGAATATCACTGAACGGGATCCCCCGAACTTCATTTCCATTTCTTTTATGAAACTCATCCTATGTTGCGATGGAAAAAATACTTGTCTTTACAGCCTGCCACCAACTTCATTGGTAAATCCATTTTCTGTGGAGAAAACCAGTGTATGTTAATGTAGGACCCCTGCGTAACGGTGCAAAGGAAGAGAGGAAAGAGGAGAGGGAAACCTGTACTGAATTGTCAATATTTTTTCTTTTTTGATTTGTTAATTTTTTTCGTTTGGAGTGTTGTTCTAACAAACGAGAACACGGTGCTAAATGATTTTCAGAGAAATTAAAAATTTGGGGTTCTTTGGAGAGAAGAATTGACGAAAACTCTTCTGCTGCCAATAAAAGATAACAATATTTTGTGCCTTACCAAAGAGTTTGAATGCTTCAAACCACTCTTCTTGGTCAACTGCAAAATTGCGGTCTAAGTCCGCGGATATTATGAATCCATACAAGCAATACTCGTATGATATTGAGTGTAGGAAGGAACTGATTTCATCTTTCATGAGACTACCGTCCACATCTTTGTCCAGTGCATCAAACTGATACTAAAATATAGAAACAGAATGGTAATAAATATAAAAACATAACAGATCAAGATAAAAGAAAAGAAAGGGAAAAGTGTTCCAAAACTTATGCGCAATTGAAAAATGGGAAAAGACTACAAGAACTTTTGAAATATTTGTTCAAGGACAAATAAACAATTTGGGGGGGGAGGGGGTGTCGATTAAATTAATCCGTGAACTTTGCAGAGCCATTCGGATTTTTTCCATCAAAATATTTCTAATAATCAACAACCATATCGCAGCGCGCTCCAGCCTTGATGTCAGCCATGACAGGAGGCAGGAACAATTGATTCTGGTCTAATCTGATTTACATGAGAAAGTATTCAGTTTCCCTGGGGGGAGAAAGACTCTATTGTTGTGCCTCCCGTCATGGTTGCCATCACGTGGTGGTGCAAAGCCTCAATAGCAAAAGAAAGTGAACTAGTATTTCATTTTATCTTGCTAATAGACAGAGCCAGGCATTTCCCCCTTGTTTCGTATGCATTTTTTCTCAGCCAGATCATATCAGTAAAAGACATACTAAAGTATAGTGAGTCCAAATCACTTACTTTTAGAATTTGTCTCCTCTCTTTGGATGTGAGTCCACTTGTTCGCGCGTTTTTTATAGAAGAGTTTAAGTCCAAACTTTGCGGATTGGTACTTTCTTCGTGTTCCTTTTTAATCATTGCCCACTCCTCAAAGCGCTCAGCAAACTGCAACAGCTCACCGCGAGGACATGCTGTCGTAGGTGTGAGAGTGCTGTCTACCATTTTTGTTGTCATCAATTGTGCCTTGGGATCTGTCAGGGAAAGAAGGTTGCACTTAAAAAACGATCTTATAATAACTCGGAATTACTTGAGACTAACGTCTCTTCCTTGATTCAAGGTTGTCCGATTTTCATCCCTCCGCAAAACCTAACAAGCTAAATTGAGTCTTTCTTGGTGTTGCAAGATGTATTGTATTCTGGGTTAGTGTTATCGTACTGCAGTGTATTGTTTAGCTCCAAACATATTGTTCTCGGCTATTGTTTTATTGTCTTCATGGCTCAGGTGCCCTGCAACACCAAGAAAGAACAGCTAAATTCAAATTCGATCTCTGAGTGAGCCATGACCTGACTTTGATCAGCCCAGAGGCTGTTTAAAATACCGATAAAATTCGAAAGTTCGTTCCTTAATACTAGTTAAAATCAATTATTTTTACCTGAACATCTTCCTTTATGCTTGACAGCAATATTGATTTCTACGCTACATGCATATTTGTGAAGATCACACGGATTTTTGTATTCCTCCAAGTAAACAGAACACTGGATTTCATCTTCGTCACTACACACGGTGGGGCAAAAGCAGGCGTTGCTGCCATCATCTCTTGTAGTGCACATGTAGCCATTCTTGCAAAATGTCTGGATGCAACGCTCCTCACCTTGAATCAAAATTATATTAAATCTTAAAAATTTTAATTAAACAAATTTCGTTTATTTTATCGAAATTTCTATCACCGACCAACCTGTACTGTTTTTTAATCCACCGTTAGTTCCAGAATGCTTTCCCACGACAGTGGTACCATTTCCTTTTTCATCTATCTCATTTCCATTCCCTCCTTTATTTTTATCTGTAACCGGCAAAACTGTACTCTTCTCGTCGATCACATTGGTATCTTCCGTCGTTGGGCTTCTCGTTGTTTTAGGAGTTTCTGGATTCGACGTAGTACTAGACCTTTTCGTACTTGGCTCTTCGGTGTTTGATGCAGTTGTACTTGGTGATGCAGTAGTACTTGGTAGTGTAGTAGTACTTGGTGATGTAGTAGTACTTGGTGGTGTAGTAGTACTTGGTGATGAAGTAGTACTTGGTGATGCAGTAGTACTTGGTAGTGTAGTAGTACTTGGTGATGTAGTAGTACTTGGTGGTGTAGTAGTACTTGGTGATGCAGTCGTACTTGGTGATGCAGTAGTACTTGGTGATGTAGTAGTACTTGGTGGTGAAGTCGTACTTGGTGATGCAGTCGTACTTGGTGGTGTAGTAGTACTTGGTGGTGTAGTAGTACTTGGTGGTGTAGTAGTATTTGGTGGTGTAGTAGTACTTGGTGGTGTAGTAGTACTTGGTGATGTAGTAGTACTTGGTGATGTAGTAGTACTTGGTGGTGTAGTAGTACTTGGTGGTGTAGTACTACTTGGTGATGCAGTAGTACTTGGTGGTG